ATCCTGTGGTTGAAATTTGTATAGAAGAGAGAGAAACAATCTGACTACATAATCTTTTCCACTTTCCTGAAACAATGATGACGACAATTTCAAAAGGAAAATGGATCAAAATGATAATCTTTTCCACTTTCTTTGAAAAGGAAAATGGATCAAAAGTTTGGGACAACTTGAATAGAAAAACATGAAAAAATTACATTTAGAACTTTAGAAGGGAGTAGTGATTATTGCACCTATAGTTTTGCGGACTATGATGGTATGATGTTCTCCGTGCAAATAGAAAAAGAAACAATGTTGATGATAATTCCAAAGTTTCATCTCACCATTTCTTCAATTGAAGGCTGGGGCATTGCTTATTTTGCATGATTTTATAGTGTTAACTAATTCTTGGCAATACATCAGAACTATAAATATCCTACCACCGGCCCCAACATAGTTGTGATTATGGTGATGGTGATGATGTACACCTATAGATGTTAGTTGAGATTCCATCTAAAGTAGTCTTCATAACTGGAAGACTCTGTACTGATTTTCCGGTTCTCTCAGTTTGTCCATATTTAGATTGCTTGGTAAAAGCCATGTAACTGATGCTTTTATTGGATTCTAGTTCTTCGGGTATGGGATGTGCTTCTGTTTGAAGGAAACCGTGTGATGTTATTCCGGACAACGCTGGCTTTGATTGATCTATATGGTAATACTTCTGTTTGTAAGCATTGGTTGATTCCAAAGTATCAAGTTTTTTTTCTAGATTGCTCTGAAACGATTACTCTTTATATGTTAACCATTCTTATGTAGGACCTGCATTGGTGACAACGAAGGATGCAGGAGACGCAGTCACTCTGCTGCAATCACTTGCTGGGTCCACATTTGATAGCAGCCAACTTGTTTTGACAGCGTGTATGGGCTATCAAAATGTTACCGAACCCAGATTACAAGAATTGAGAAACAAGCACCGACCAGCTGTTAATGCTGCACTTGAAGAGCGATCTAAAGGTTTAAAAGTATGGAGGGAGTCTCAGGGTCGTCTAGCATCTAAACTATACAGTTTTACACAAGATCCTGGCTCTGTGGAGGGAACCAATAAACCAGATAATAGTGTAGATCCTTCATCAGTTAATGACAATGTGGACGAGCTATATGTTAGCATGAACAAGAACTTGGAGAAGGGTTCTGGTCCGGATCTTCAAGAACAGGTTGCTTCCAATTTCTATGCATGTTCTACGTATCATGCTCGTCTTTGATTTTCTCTACAAGGAATTACAGTTGCTGTTCCTTGTTACAGTGCTCCATTGTATTCTACCACTTCATAATAACCTTTACATCTCTTTCAGTTGCAATGGTTGGAAAAACACATTTTCATGCAAGTTTTGTCCATCAAAAACTTGGAATTGCGAGAAATGCTTATTTAAAGTGTAGTAAGTTTAAACTTCTGTGCTATGTGCAGGTGGTATGGCTAAAGGTTGAACTGTGCAAGTTGCTGGAGGAAAAAAGATCTGCTGAACTAAGGTAAAATAATCTTAGGAAAGCCTATCTAATTTGACTTCTGATTCCAACCAAATGGTGTATAATCATGCAGCTGAACATTTGTTTGGCCATTCATGTTCCTATAAATCTAAATTTATAGCTTCGTGATATTTTTACTTGGTGATCTTGGGGAAATGGTGAAACATGAAGATCTTGGTGATCTTGGGGAAATGGGGAAATGGTAAATTCCTTCATACAAATAATCCACTCTCTACCTGCCACCCTGATGCAGCTGCTATAAACCTTCTGCTTCTTCCTTTTTTCTCTTTAATTTAAAAACCCCTCTGCTTCTTCAAATGATGTCATGATAAGAAATGTCAAACCAAGATAAGAATTCAACTTAGCTGGTGATGCATATAAAATTTTATACGGTCTTGAGAAGAAGTGGAACCATTGGTTGGAAAGCTCACGAGTCACGACTAACAATGCATGCCTAGAGTTTGTCCAATGGATTTTTGATGGCAAGTTTTCCGTCCTGTAGTGTCAAGCCAAATTAATTGTTCCCTCTGTCAGAAAAAAAAGAGCCTTGTCTGAGTAAGGCACAACTTTTTTTTGTCGACTCAATCAAGGTACAAGCTTTTACGTGTTATGAAAGGTCACTTGTATCCCTAAAACTTATTTCCAAGATTGCATGGAGTAACTAACTAAAACTGCTTGCTGCTTGGCTTTACAAGAATTATACATAAAAATCAATGTTAACTTTTAAAATCCTACTCCTTTTATGGACAAAAATCTTGAAACATAATCTTTTCTTGGGACAGATGGAGTATTGGTTTAAGTTCTATGCTCTTCATCACTTCATCGTTGGTTCAAATTGGAAAAAAGATCCTTAATTAATTGAGAAGCAAGACAATCAAAGAAAAATGACTATTTCATTATATTGAAAACACAAACTTTTTTTTATAAAATAGTTGGTGTTAATGTAAAAAATAGCTGACAGATTTTTTATGACGTCATTTATACCCTTTACTAGTAATAAAATCAAACGTTAAGATGCATACCTCAGCTTCGTTTAAAGATGGCATGCTTTTTTTGTCTGGTTTGCATAGTGTGACACAAACACACAATGTTGAAATCTCTGATTTATGTGAGTGCAGAGCTGAGGAATTGGAAACAGCATTAATGGAGATGGTGAAGCAGGATAACCGGCGACAGTTGAGCGCACGGGTATATCAGAGAATTCCTTATAATTGATTTATCATCTCGTTGCTGCTAAAGCAGGGTTTGCTTTCTTATTCTTGCTTATTCTGTGTATGGTCATGTGAATGTTTGTGTTGGCCTTGAGTGAAGATGCAAGGTCAGGGAGTGCGTCGTTGGATGTGACTAGTATCAAATAGAAACCACTTCACACAGTAATTGGAGTAGTCAAAGGGAAATGGGGATCGTATTTGAAATGTCATAAATAGATTCAAATGGTTATAATGTATTTAATCAGTGGAATTTGTGAATACTTTTTTTATAGATTGACATCATACTCACTCAACTTGGTACTAAATTTGTAACCAAATAAGAATATGCTTGGGTTTTGATATTGGGTAGAGTGTTTGAATTTGAATTGATGAAGAAACATTTAAAGGGATATCATAAACATTGCTTCTACAGCTGCATGTGAACTTCCCTGTCACGCTTGGACTGGAGACAAGACGTGTTAACTCTCTGGGCTCTGAGGACTGTTTACCTTATTAGTGTTTTTTAAAATTAATGATTTTGTTACAATGAGTGTTCCTTTGTTGTTTGTTAATGTAGAGTAATAATCCGGAGTATACAAGTTAACTGGTAATCTTCTTGCGGTTAGGTTGAGCAATTAGAGCAAGATATTGGAGAGCTGAGACGGGCTCTAGCTGATAAACAAGAACAAGAAAATGCCATGCTTCAAGTAAGTTAAATTTAATTCGACCCTTTTTTTTCATTTGGGCATATTAATGGATTCGATGTGGTGGGTGGTATAGGTTTTGATGCGGGTGGAACAAGAGCAAAGGGTAACTGAAGATGCACGGAGATTTGCTGAACAAGAAGCAGCTGCACAAAGAAGTGCCACAAAAGTCCTTCAGGAGAAGTATGAAGAAGCTATGGCTTCCCTCTCAGAGATGGAGAAACGGGTGGTTATGGCTGAATCTATGTTGGAGGCAACATTGCAGTATCAATCTGGTCAGACCAAAACCCAACCTTCTCCGCGGTATGCAACATCATAACAATAATTCAATTCACTCTTTCTTTAGGAAGATGGAAAAAGTTTCTCCAACTCAATTAGGATAAAATATGATTTTGCTCCAAATACGAAAACTATTCACACAAGGCGTGTGTTTGGGGTTGATAGATCTGGACAGCAAGATTCTTCCACTCAAATGCTAACCAATCAGGATGGGCATCTTCAAGAGATACCTGCAAGAAAAATCAGCCTTCTGTCTAGATGGCGGGACCGAAACAAGGTTTGTTTAATCTTTCTTAATTTATTATTATTATGGGTTCATTTGGAACTTCAAAGATGATAGAAAACGAGGAAGATAGAGGGGAAATAAAGGGGGGGATGGGAGGAATTTGGGAGTTCCAAACATAACATATACTAATTGATCAGGGGAAGCCTAGCAGCAGCTCAGAGGAGGAGCCAATGAATGAGGTTGAAAGCCCAAGGCTTCCATTGGAGACGACGATGAATAGTGGCCTTCCAGTTGCCGCAGAGCAAGCCTAAGAAACCGGCCCCACCATATATGCTTAATTGTCTGTCATACAATGGCTCCAACACAGGCTATGTTTTGCGTCCGATGAGATTTGATCCAAATTGTCCTATAAAAAAAGAATCCAACATCATTGTGTTTGTTTCATAGCCCTTAGAATAATGGTGCATAGTTGAAGAGGGAATACATATAATATCATATAATGATGATACAATACGTGTGAATTAATAATGATGTAACATGGACAAGTGAATGTATACTTTTCTTTTCTTTTTTGTTACCCAAATTGTATAACCATTGATATGATTGTAAGTTTTGGGTTCCAATGTAGTATGATTCTTTGTGGGGCGGACAAGTACACGAAATAATATTGTTTACTCATTTTACTCCCTCCGTTCCAATTTAGTGTCTGTTTATTATTCACAGGTCAAACTTTATCTACTTTCTTTTTCTATTTTCATTAGCAATTTGATAAAATAAAGTACATTTGTTTCTATTAGTTTTGTAGATCTTTTAATGTAATATTTTAATATGTAATTTTTATTTTTTAACTCTATACCATTTGTCATATAAAATGATTTGAAAATAATTTCAATCAAACATCGTAAATCGAAATAGGCATTATAAATTGGGACGGAGCGAGTATTATAAACCCAATACCATATGAGAAGTCAATTATTTGGTCAGCAAATGTCAAAACAAGCAGCAGTGATTTTTTTTCAAGGATCCTTGGGATTTGGGATGGTAGCTTTTTTTTTTCCTTTTCATTTTACATGGTAAAAAGGATGCACAGTCCAATAATGAAATGAATTGTAAAGTTTCTTTTTTAAAAAATAAGCACAGTCAAAAATTTTATGCACAGAAAAGTCATACAAGGATAATAAAGCCTAGATGAGTTCCTTCTCCATGTAATGATAAAACTCTCTTTGGTACATAACCTCCTCCCTCAACTTAACTCCTCAAAACAAAGCAGCACGGCTCAAACTAACTTTGCTTTTTTACCTCACACAAAGTTGCCATCATCGCTGCACCCTTCTTCGGGTCTTGGGATGGAAGGAGGGAATGAAGGCTGCCTTTGGTGGGCCATCATCTGGTAGGGTTCGTACTTCTGTGAGGCTAGATAGTTCAGGGCTGTGACCACGTCGGCCATAAGAGGTCTCATGTTGGGCTGCTCGTGGACGCACATTGCAGCAACAGCAAGGGCTTGATACATGCCCCTGAGTGGAAACTTACCCTTAAGCATTGGATCTGCCATTCGGGAAAAGTTCTTCCTGTCTTTGAACAACGGCCGTGCCTGTCAACATTATGTCACAATCAGAACCTTATAATAGATTATGAAGAGGACAATGGAAACAAAAAAAATGTGTAGAGTAGAGGAAAAAAAAGCTATGATATGGAGGGACTGGTTTAAGCCTTTTCCCCTCTGGTCATTTAGTTCAGAAGAGATGAATGAGGAGGGAGTATTGTTTAGCTGATGAGTATTCAATTGCTACGAATTCAAATTCAAGTGTTTGGTTAACCATGGGATGGAAAACAAATATTGAATGCAAATGCCAAAACACCACTTTCTAGTTATACATGTGTTGCCACTCCTAGAAGTATAGGGGTGATGATGTCTTATGGAGTCCAAACTTTCTTCTCACTGGGATCGTTTTTCCAGGAAATGAGGGAAAAAGATATTCATATGGAAACTTCATTCCTTTGTACGAATCATGAATCATCAGTTCTCTTTACTTGGGAATTGATGAGCAGAGGAATCATTTCCCCGTGTACCGCACGACTGTTAGCATAAGATTTCATAGTGAGGCAGACAACAAAAAGGCTTATGTGGAAGTGGGTGCATAGTTTTGGGTGGGGGGGGACACAAAGGGACTCTTATGGAAGGACATATTCTATGGAGCTGTATCAAGCTCCCTTATTATTGCTCATTGTCATCTCCATTCAATGCCACAACGGATCCTACTCCCAACAGAAACAGTCTCTCTGTCCCGTTATGAAGTTTACAATTTCCTTTTTCACCCGACTCAAAATAAAATTTACACTTCTACCATTTTGTTAGGAAAGAAATATGTGGCTCATAATATCTCTTCTAAACAAATTTCAACCATACATTTTCACTTTTCAAAGCGAGTGTAAAGTTCATTTTGGGATGGAGTCAAAAATCAAAATAGAAATGAAAGGTGAAAGTGATGAATTGAGAATGTTGTTATAGTCATGTGTCAACAAGATTAATTTGTAAAATCAACATGGCACATTGGCACACGCGCACACACCATAAAATTGAAAATAGGAGTTAGTTTCTTACCCATGCAACCAAATTCTGCTCTTCATAAGCTTTTGAATTGTCAATTGCCATTCTTCCGGTTATCATCTCTAGGAGCACAACCCCAAAACTGTAAACATCTGATTTCACTGTGAGCTGCCCAGTCATTGCATATTCGGGTGCACAATATCCGTAAGTTCCCATTACTCTTGTTGACACATGGGTGTTGTCACCAACAGGACCCAATTTGGCCAGCCCGAAATCTGATAACTTGGGGTGATAGTCTTCATCAAGCAAAATATTTGAGCATTTCAAGTCTCGGTAAATTACTGGAGGATTTGCTCTATCATGCAAATACTCCAAGCCCTGTGCAGCACCGGTAGCTATTCTCATACGTGTATTCCAGTCAAGTATTTTTTTGTCAGGTGAAAGCTCTGCTGGATCATTTTAAAAATATGGAACTAATTAGAAGAATGTAGAGTATCATGAAGATGCAAAAATTGAAGGGTTTTTGAAATGGGGAAAATGTAGAGTTATCATTCACCTTCAAATTTCAATTACTCCCTCTGTTCCACTATTTTTATCCCTTTTTATCTTTTTTATTAATCACGGTGTCCCACTATTTTGTCCCATGCCATATTGGTCATATTGGTATGGCTTACATTCCTTTTCACTTTATCTTACCTTTTCTTTACTTTTTTACATCAATATCAACCACACAATCTTACTTTTCTTAATCTTTGTGCCACTCCCTCATGATCCAAAAATAGTGGGACGGAGGGAGTATTTGTTTACACTCATTTTATCCATATATTTCTATTAGATAGAGATTATGAAATCTAAACATGTGCAAAGTTTAAGAAAGATTTATCATAATATCTTACATATTCATTGATTTACTTTGAACATACAACAACAGACCCAGTAAAATCTAGAATCTCACAAGGAGAGGGTGGGGTTTGGGGAGGGCGTGTACGTAGACCTTACCCCTACCCAAAAAGTAATTGATTTACTTTGGACATACATCTAAATAAATACTATACTGAACTTGATTCAATCTTTTACTTTCCCCTAAATTTTCTTTCATTTTGCAGGTTCCAAACAGACCCTTAAGCAATATTGCCATGAAACTGGAAGATAACATCAGGATATATGAAATCAAATGCAAGAAATGTAAAATGAATATACCATGGAGATGGTCTTCTAGTGACCCCAAAGGCATGTACTCATATACCAACAGTCTTTGATCTCCATCAGCACAGTACCCAATCAAGTTGACTAAATTTGGGTGGTGAAGTAGACTTAACATCAATACCTCAACAAGAAATTCCCGGTTCCCTTGTAATCCATTTCGATCTAGTTGCTTAATAGCCACAATCTATCCAAAGGGATAGGCAGTTTGCAAAACAATAATGTCATCATATGATATATTTGAAGTACTAAGCAACCAAAATACATAACGCCTCTCTGAGAAGCTGCCAAATACATCTCTGGATAAAGCGGGATTGAAAAAAACAAAGATTCTATATTTCAAAATTGTTCATGGCTTTCAGGGATAGTAACTAAGGATCAGTTGTGTAGCTTCCTATCATACAAATTTTGGATGATACTCGTACTAGCATTTTAGCTATATGGCATAGGAATCTCATTTTATTATGAGAGTTAAATCAACTAATCGTGTGCTGAACAAGTAACTACATTCCTAAATATGTATCCTATAAAATACTAAAACTATAATATGTTTTGTTATCATCCTGAAGCACCAAGAAAGAAAAAAGAAACAAAAAACATATATCGGTGTAACATTTGAAGAGCCAGAACCCTGCATCTGTTTCCAATTTTCAATGGTTGAAGATCTATGGGCTCAACAAACCTGATTGGTACTCTCTAATTTCCCTCTATATACTCTGCCAAAGCCCCCTTCACCTAAAAGACAGTCTGCCCTAAAATTCTTGGTTGCAGTAGCTAATTCGCGAAATGTGAACGTATGTGCTGCAATATGACCAGGACCTCCCCCTTTTTTGGATGCTTCCTTCTTTTCATCTGATGTTGAATTTACCTTTTGTTTATCTGAAAGTATAAGAAAAAAATCATATGTTTAAGCTGTACAAGTATGCCAAGCTTAAAAGATAAACTAAAGAAGTGATAGAAGTATATACTATGAGTAACTCCCAGAGGCAGATAAAATGAGGCAAAGATAGGTAAGCTTGAGGATAGATAATAGATATAAGCTACACAGAACACATGGAAAAAAGCGAAAACCATGTCTCCACTGCGTTCCTCACTATTCAACTACCATGACCATCTAAGATCTTTAACACTGAGTCACTGAGAACTCTCAGCTCTAGAGCATCTTTTTAACTTTTGCACATTCATGAGATTGCCCAAATTACAAGGCTTCTAATACTGTATCCTACAACGTATCTAGTATAGCCTCACAAGTGGGGTCTGGGGGTGTAGGCATACCTTACATCTACTTATAAAAGAATCATTGTATACCACATACAGAAAAACCTATACAAACATATCCCTAACAATGATATGGTCATCATTACCCACAGTTAAACATTATTACCTTCCAATCATGAAGAAAATTCAAAAACTTGTCATGGTATTACTGGAGAGATAACATTAATGGATGAGGAAGTGTGGAACAATCACAAGTCTGTTAGATTTTGTTATCATCCAGAAGCAGCTAGACCCAACTAATTAAATCTCATTTGCAAATTAGGTATAATGTAGTAAGTATCATACTCAATTAAATCCATTCAATTTAAATTATACTGAATCTCATCCAATTCTCATTGTTAAATCTACATTGAAATTACATGTCAGCTGTATATAACCAAATATACAAAATGAAGATCTAAAAATTCAAAATTTATGTATGAGCGTGAAAATGTCACCAGTATAAACCCAAGAATTACACCAATCCATGATTGAACTAGGAAACCCACTCAAATTTCAGATTTCATATTAATGATGAATGGAATCACAGCTCAAAAATTACACCAATCCATGATTGAACATTTAAACAGATCACCAAAACTCATAAGCAAACACATACACATGATTTTTCACGGAATCAAATTTCCTAGACTTGAAATTGCAAAAAATAAGCATAAGGGCCCAGAAATGAAAAAATAAAAGAGGCCAATCAGTTTATATTTTTTAAAATCAATTCCATTACACGAAATGTACACATCAAGCATCAAGCGGTGTATCTTTCTCGTTATGTATTAGAAAACCTAATGTTGATGGGATCTGATAATCGGAGTTCTTGATTTGCTGCTGCTTTGCTTTCTTATTTGATCTTCTGAAACAACCCATGACTGCCCTCTATCACAATCTCTCTCTCTCTCTCTCGTCTGAAATCCTTGTTTGGTTTCCTTCCCTTGTGTTGATGAAGAGAAAATTAATTCAAATTTGTTGAAGTGTTCTTCGGGTATTGTCAGTGTATGCCTTTTCTGTTCAACTTTTGCATTTATGGTGAATGAATTGTAATAGTAGTAACTAGTAATCCCTCCTAACCACTTTGGTTAGAACGCTGGCCCATCCATCCCACTCTTTACTATGAGGAGATATGAATTATGAACACAGTTAGGGGTGGGTGGGCAATCGGGTCCAGAAACCGCCAGTCGAAACCGGATCTCCATCCGAGTTAGGTCTGGGTCGTTTTTTCAAAAATTTAAAACTGTCCGGGTCGGTTCAGTCTTTATAGATTTTAGGGTCGGTCCGATTCCCTATTTTGAAATTTTTTGGGACTCGGACCGGACCGTTTTTTTTAATACCAATATTATTTTTAATACTCGGTATTATTTTTAGTAAATATAAGGATATACGGTACACCCGCCTATTTGTCATTATTTTATTTTCATGCCCCCTTTGTCATTGTTTTAGAGAGTGTTTGGCAGTGCGCTGCTTTTAACAATTTAGCTTCTGTTTTGAGTGGAAGTGATTTTACTTTGTTTGGCATGTCAGCTTCTGCTTTTCACCAACATTATTTTGTACATGGAACACCGTTTCGGAGAAGCATGTATGAGGTGCTTTTGCTTTCAGCTTTTGTAGAAATCACTTTATCAATAAGCTAATCACTCCCAAACACCCTCTTATTTTCATTTATTCCTTTTTTTTGTGTTGGATGACTTAAAGCTTTTGATAGCTTTTTTTAACATAATAATTCTTATCTCTTGATACCAAACATGTCAAAGCATAGTTTTAAAACCGGACCGGCCGGGAACCGGAGGACAAACCGGTCCGGTCCGGCCTTTTGGACCGCGTGCATTAAACCACTGCGAACCGGTAAGAACCGGCCGGTTCACCCGGTCGAACCAATTTTTTTTTTTTTTTTGCAATTTTGGCCAAAATGTTTATTCTTCTACAAAGATTTGAACCCTTAACCTATGGATTGTTATACAAAGCCATCGACCAACCAAACAAGAAGGTTTTTTGTTACATAGTGGTTCTAAGTAGTATATATTCCTTAATTAAAAAAGTAAGTATGAATTAAAAGATTTCTTTATTTCTTAAACTAAGATTCTTAACATTTAAAAATAGAAATAATTCTAATACGGAGTACGTGTCACAAAAAAAATTCATTTTAATATTTTGGATATTAGGCAAAATATATAAAGAAAAATAGAATGTTATTATTTTATAAAACTTTTAATGTACTTTTCGATACGTAAATTTTATTTTAAATATAAATTGACTAACAAAATAAGTTAGAGTGATTAAAATTTCAATCAAATATCACAAAATTTTGTGTACATATAAAAGAAGTTATTTTTATTTTATACAAAATACGTGTGTGTGTGTGTGTGTGTATAATATGTTTAAACCACTGGTTCAACCAGTGAACCAGTACCTGGACCGGTTCGGTCCCTGGTCCGGTTTTTAAGACTATGTGTCAAAGTACTTTATGAAATGAATGAGGAACTGGGCACTGGACTTCATATTATCTCTTGGTACCAAACATGTCAAAGTACTTCATATTAATATTTGTGCCCGAGCTCTAGGAACTGGACAGTGGACGTGTGGCGCAATTATTCACACCATCCAATTGCCCTTTGAACTTTGAAAGCATTATTCTATAATTTCTATTTGTTTTGGAGAATGTTAGTATTATGATAGGTTCGGACCCGTTGACCCGTGGAATCGGCTCGTTTCAAACAAGCCGGGTTAGGTCCGATTCCAATTTTAAAATTTTGAAAACCCGTCCCGGCCCGGACTGTCTTAATAAAAACAAGCCGAGTTCGGTTTATACAAATCTTGGCTCGGACTGGCCCGTGCCCACCCCTAAACACAGTTTTTAAAATCGAACCGGTTACCGAACTGGTGGTTCAAGTGGTCGAATAAGTGGTTTAAACATATGTAAATATGCATGCACGTGTGTGTGTGTGTGTAACTTTATATAGTAAACATAATACTCCTTTTGCATGTACATAAAAATTTATAATATTTATTGAAATTATGATTAATTTAATTTATTTGATTAGTGGAATTAAATTCAAAAATAAAGGTTATATTTAAAATTAAATCTAAAGTACTATAAAATGAGAGATGTGTTCATTTGTTCACATATCTTGTCAAATATATTCCAAAAACATTCGAATGATTTTTTTTCACAACAAGTACTTCATATTTTATTAAAGTTTTAACAAAAGAAAAAAAACTTTTTAAGTCCACAATACATACTATTTGCATCAAATATGAAATAAAAAATATTGTTGCTTAGTTGGTGCATTGCTTGACTAATGTCCAAGAAGTTTATGTTTCGAATCTTAGTGAGGTGATACTTTTAGCCATATTTCGCCAAAAAAAATTGGTTCGATCAGTTGAACTGGTTCGTTCTTACCGATTCAAACTGGTTCAGAGCCTAACATGGTAAAAGGGACAAGACCTGACCAGTTCGACCTCCGGTTCACCGGTTCCTGATTCAAACCAGCCAGTCCAGTCTGGTTTTCAAATCTATGGATATGAAGAACTGAAAGTGGACAAAAATATCGGTCTGACATTGTTACGAATTGAACCGAGTCGACATTGTATCAAGCAAAAAAGCAGGTTTTTAAATGATTCTAGTAAATTATGTTATGAACCGAACCAAACCATTTTCAAAATGGTACGAGACGGTTTCTCAAAAAATAAATACCAAATCGAACTGTTACCTCTAAAATATTAAATTAATAAATTAATTATACATTTACATTTGTTTTTCTTTAGTAAATTTAGATGATATTTATTTGATGTGCCTTTAACATAGTTAAACTTATCTTTTTATAGTATTTTATTATCCCGAAGTATAACTCAAATTATAATATTATTTGTTGAAAATTAAACTATAATAGTTGTTTGTCAAAAATTGTAACCAAACAATACACTTGTTAAGTAAGAATGCATAAAAAAAGTGGTGCACCATTTTTTTTAATTACGTCAATTGTTTATTATGAATAAGAATATTTTCAAAGCGTCGAAGTATTATAGAATGGTTTGGCATTACTACGGCATGGTACCATCCCGTTACTGAACGACATCGTACCGAATGGATTTAGATGTAAAACTGAAAGTCTGAAACCGTATCAAACCGTTCGAATAGTAATAGTATGGTACGGGTTCTTAAAAATATTGGATCGTCACGGACCGTGCTCACTACTACGAACAACTATATGAGTCTATGAAAGCTAGACCAGGCGAACCCACAATACAATATGGACGAGTTTAGATTTTGTGTTTAACATGCATTGGCCAGTAGCCATCCCCACATCATATACATATATGCAAAGACAAACAAAAAAAGTTTGAATGAAAAAGAAAAAAACTAAACCAAAAAAATAAAATAAAAAAGGGTTTGGTTAGAGAAAAATAAAACAAAAAATTTAGAAAATAAAATAGCATAAATTTAATTATTTATTTTAATTAGAAAAGATTTAATATAATTTAATTAGAAACATACAAATAGACTTTACTTAATTTAATTAATTTTTTCTAAAAAAATTAATTGATATAGACTTTACTTTATTATGATACAATGTCTATTTTCTTCGTGTCGTGCTGGATGATAACTCCTCTTCAAGTTGAAGTTACTTCGTCAATTCCTTGAGGTAAGGCCATCTAAAGTCTAAACGATCTCAATCAAGAGAGCCTTACCGTTGAGGCATAAGCCACACATTTGATCAAGGGGGTCATATCGTCTTAAACAAACAGTGAAAGTGTTTCGCACCATTGTTGATTGAAGACCTTAATATGTGAATTCTAAAGTTGAAATGTAATTGTCACTTTATTCTTACATATGTCAACGAGTGAACAATGTCAATTAACACATGCATGCGAACAATCCCACTATATATAGGATCTTATAGAAGGAGATTAAGGAGGACATTCAATTATACACACATAACATTCAGTACATTATGAGATAGAGTAAGAAGTAGTATATTCGGCACCCCAAATTTTCTCGATCTAAGTCATAATGTGTTCTGCGTCACACTTAAATTCAATGTTTTTGATTCTAATTTCTAACCGCTCAACTACGACTTTGTCCGGCTTGTCTTTGTCAATCCTACTCAATTAAATTCACACCATCAGATGTGATTCTTAGAGATGGTGAGATTATATTGGAATTCATTTACTATATGAAATTAAATACCTAATGATCTGACAAAAATACCCTCATAATTAATTTAATAATTTCATTAAAAATAATACCACATGACAAAATCGGACCATCCATGTCATTTTTTATTTTTATCATAAAATGCCACTAAAACCAACTCACACTTAAAATTGGATAAGGCAATATTGTATTTTTAAAAGTACAAAAAAGAAATATATTCAAAGATAAGTATTTAACATAAAAAAGGGAAAAAGAGACGAAAAGAAAGAACGCGAATTTATTAAAATTTTCTCCACGAATCTATCCCGCAAATTATAAAGTATATCTAGTTGTATCGTTTTTTTCGGTATAGCCGGCAATTAGATCGACGGAAGGGGAGGCGCACCTACGAAGGAGGGAGAAAATTACCAGCAGCACCCATCTCCAATACTTTAAGTACTAATTTTAATTCTATTTTAGGAAATGGAAAGAATTAAATGGTACAGTTGGAAAAGGAAAGATATGGACTGAGGGAGTAATACTATCCTCAACCCCTCAGCTTAGGGATATGCTAGGGGTACATCAAAGGTGTACCCCAAATGTACACCACCCTCCCTCTCTACTATTCATTTTATTTTATTTTTAGCTTTTACTTTTTTTGAATTTTTTTGCCTTTTTTGTGTGGTGATGGAGGGGGTGGGGATGTTTGGGGTACACCAAAAGTGTACCCTGGCATTTTACCTCAGCTTATCACCAAACACAAAACCCTAAATTATAACCAGCCGAGTAGCTCCAAGCAGGTCAACGATGAACGCTTCAACACCAAACCTCCTAGAGGAAGCCCTCGCCGGCGACGAGAGCCTTTCCGGTCCCACGAGGCGCGGCCGAGTGGTGGTGATCGAGGACTGCGTGGAGACCAACGGCGGATTCCTGCTCCACCACTTCATCAAACGCGCTCTCTCTCCCTCCTCATCCGACGTCGTCGTTTTTCTGGCACTGGCGCAGCCTTTCTCGCACTACGACCGCATTCTCCGCAAAATGGTTGCTCCTTCTTTGCTCTTCTCAATTCACAATTTGACTCATGATTGTTTATTTCCCAAAGCAATTCCGGAGATTTTAGAGTATAACACAAACTTGAGTGGTTAAGTTGGTTTTAATTTAAACATGGTATCGGAGCTCTTATGTCATGAGTCCAAATCTCAGAAAAAATCAATGTTCACTTTAAGAAAAAACAGTAATAAATTAATGCTCACTGTAAAAAATTAATGTTCTTCTAAGGAGATGTTAGAGTTTATCAGTGTGAATCAACTCTTGAGAGTTGAGACTCCAACCACAAACTTGAACTTTTAGGTTGGTTCCTTTACAGTTGGACATTAGATTTATTTTTTATTAATCGATTATTTAATGTGTTTGTGTAACAGGGTTGCAACTTAGGTGTACATAGGGATAGTAAAAGGTTCATATTTCTGGACATGCTCATGGAGTTTACAGGTGAATTTGTCAAAAAATTTGGTTTATTTGAATAAACTGGAAAACTTTGCTATAGAAATTTCATTTTGTATTTAAGTTATAGAAGTGTGTGTTCATCTGATGCATGACATAGAATGGGATTTGAAAACTTTATTCCATATCTTTTACGCAATGATGGGGAACAATTATTTCCCAAATGGAACACTCAGAGGGTGGTACTGTTCTTCCATACTTTTTCACCTGATCGTACTATTTTCTTCTTTCAATTCAAGTGGGACTGAACTTGGAGTGATAAAAAAGTGAAATTATAGGGTGGACATGGGAAAAAGATTGAGTTTGAAATGGTCACATAACTCTTAAACTAGACAAGTTCCTAAAGAAGTTGAAGATTGCATTATCTTTTGTGTATGCTGGCTGTCATATGGCTCATGTCTAGACGGTCAAAATACTACTGCATTAAAGGAACCCGAATGACATCTAAAGCATAAAAGTTTTGAAAGTTGCTAAATTGCTAACAGCTGAAATGCTTCACGGAGTATAGTTCTTCACCATAAATTTAAGTCTTCTTTGACTTGGCTAGACAGATGGAGGAGAATCGATTGAAAACGGACTGCTTGCTTTATATGAAAAAATACAGAAAGGAGTGGAAGCTTCTTATACGTCCACAGGCTCTAGAAACATAACCATCATGATTGATGATGTATCGCAGATTGAAGTAGCTGTCAATGGCTCATCAAATCATGTATTAGATTTTCTGCATTATTGCTACACTTTGACAACAGAGTTTGTAAGGAACTGCATTCATTATTTTACGCATTGCTTGTTTAAACCTATAGTTCTTAAAGCCAAGCTAATATTTTAAGTTTTTTTTAAAGGGTTGTTCGCTTGTGACCCTTAATCATGAAGATATCTATTTGAGCTCAGATAAGCCCGGACTGATTTTGCAAATGGAACACCTGGCAGATGTGGTGATAAAGACAGAACCTTTGACGACTGGTTTGGCAACTGATGTGCATGGACAGGTAGACACTTCTTAGCCAGGTCTTGTGAATATAGGTGCCTTTAGTATTCTTTCAGTGTCAGTTATTCTTATGTAGGCTTCCTCCTGGCTCCTACAGTCCTACTCCAACCATTCAGTGACATTTTCCTTATTAACTTAAAGTTAAACCCAACGTTCTGATGGAAAATTGAAATTTTGTGTACAAAAGTAAGACTCAAGGCTGAGGTTTGTGTAGCTTGCCAGTTGTTTCTGTGAATCTACCTTGTAGGCTCAAGCCAGAAATGTGTATTGCTCTCCCGTCCTGATAAAAAAACACCTTTTTCAATGAATTTTTTTGGTCCCCAAAAGCTAGATAATTCACATTTCAGGTGCCTTCAGCTGATGAAGGCTTTTTTATTTAATTTTCAATATAAGCCATGAAATTAAATACAATAAATTTATGTAAAACAATACTTTCTTTAAACAGTATGAACCGTGACTTACAACCCTTGTACCTTACCAAACTTTAAAACATTTACCTTGGTTGAAAATGAGATTCATCATCATCATTTTGTGGAGGGAGGTAGTATTTGTTAAAGATGTACTTTTGTTTCCACCAAAGTTCTCTTAACCTTTTAGTAATCAATTAAGTTTCCCTAGAATCAACCTATGCGGCACGGAAATTAAAATCATGAAACGTGAAATGAGCAGGAAATCAATATTTATAGAAGTATAGCATAAATATGGGAAGAAACATGTAAATATTAAATTTATAATTATAATGGTATGCATGTAAAGAAAAATAATTAATTATGTATGTGAAGTAAACATGAGTTTATCACATTTTAAAGAGTTAAATGTAATGCAGTAATATTAGAATGTGCATGTTACATAAGGAATATAATGTTTAAAGATTCATAATTGTCCCTAAGAACACAATTCATGCTGATATTAGATCATTAATTTTAAAACGTAAGAATACAGTTGGCAATGTATGCGAGAAACATTTTTTTAACAGAAGCCTATTTTTTTGTAAGACACCTTTATAATACATTCCTTTATTTATTGGGCAAAAATGTTTTCTGAATCTAACAAACCTGAAACAATTTGGTAAGCTTTGTGTAAATTTTGGAAACATCTCTGAAGTGAGGAGACATTTTTCTCCAAAAGTTCCAAGCATTATCTCCCCTAACTGTGTGCTTCTTGTAGAACTCATGGTATTTTAAAAATGTGATTAGAATTGTTCTCAAAAGGTGGTGTAATCTATCATGCTTTATTTTGTTAACATGCCATTTTTGTGTGATGTTTTCTGCAGTTGACGGTTATAAATAGGGGAGTTAGTTATGGATCAAGAAGCGTTAGGGCCAAAGTCCGTAATTTCCACTTCCAAGTTAAGGAAAGTATTGTAGAGTACTTTTATCCCGGGAGTCGGAATTGAAGTAAAGACAATTTTGCCAATTGAGTTTAGTCAGGTTTGTTTTGCTTTGAACACACTACATGTGGAGAGTGGAAATACATCCATTTTCTTATGTAGTAGAAACGTTATTTCGTCGTGTCTTTCCTACACCATTCTCTTTGTTTCTGGCAACTACGTGATACATTAATGATTAATCTGATTTATATGCCATTTTACACATGATCGAAAGAATCACGCTTTGGGTGTTGTTGAACTTGGAAACTACTCTAAAACCAGTGTCCCTAGGAGGTAGACACTAGATATAGGGCCTAGGTGGGGTTTAGACGGGATTGACTATTACTTGGTGGGACCAAATCAATAGGAAGTCTTAGGCAGCTAAGGGAGGCCTAATGTCCAGACGGGGCATAGGTGGAGTTAGGTGAGAGTTTTTAGAAGACTGCTAAAACTCGAGCCAGGGTCTGTTTGGGTCTATCTTTCTTTTCCCCTTTTGACTTCAAATGTCGTCTGTCTTGTAATCGTGTGATATGAGATGCTTGTTGTAAAGTAGGCATTCTTTTTACACAAGCATATTCTTTCATACATGGCTCAAGCTACCCCAAGTCCAATTCCAAGAGATGTAGGCTATGTTTGGGGTTTAAAAACTACATTAAAAAATCTACAAAACTAGTGGTGACAAGATAAATTGAGTTAGAAGATTTGTAAAAATATATTTAGTTATAATATGAATTTAGTAAAATTGGGTTTATTTTAAAATATAGTTTTGAAATATTTAATTTTTATAGTGCTCCGTATTTTATTATTTTAAACTATATTAATTCATGATCAAAGGGTGCTACAGTTTGACCAAAAAATCAAACTGTGGCAATTTTTTAGAGAGCAAGCGAGTATTTAATTAATTTCTTCTTATTTGACTTTTCATGGTTTCTAATGTGGTAACATGTTAATCATTAATATTGATATTTATACATAGATATTATTTCAAAACTATTTTTTAAAAGAAAACTATTGATATTGCATTTATATGGAAACACAACATGACAATATAATTTTTTTGCATATTAAACCAAAATTAACAAATTTTAACCAACAAAAATCAAACGGAAAGATTAAATCTAGACATATGGAGTATTAATTTTCTAGACCATGTAGGTTGCTCCATTTTTTTGGTTTGGGTGAGGTTTCAATCCTTGGTGGGGAAATTGCTCGAATTCAAAACAATAATTCCATTCAAACCATCTAATATACTCAACTGGTGTTCAAATTCAAACCATAACACTATGTTTGGTTTGTGGAATTTGAAAGGAAATGAGAGAAAAATGTTTTTTCTCTTTTTACTCTTCAAATTTAAAGTAATACTCCGTATTGTTTTCTTTCTTTTTAGTTCATTTCTTCTCTCTTTTTTTCACTCTTGTTTCCCACTCTAATTAAACAAGAAAATTGTTTTCCCATTCATGTTCTTTTCTTTTCCCTTTTAAATTTTTTGAATCAAACACACTGAAATTTTCACATCACTACCTTTTTCTTGAAATTATGTTAAATGTCATCGAGCTAATCGGTTAGCGGGTCTATGAGCTTCCAATATTTTTTTTACTAATTATGCCCAAAGAGCCATGCTATTCTTGACCACGTGAATTTGGCGCACAATTTAAGAAATTGAAATGGTACAATTAATATTACTCCCTCCGTCCTATAACGATCTTCTCAGAGCACTATTCCAACTTCACGGGGATTTATATTTATTTGTGTTTTTTCATGGTTTATATGATAAAATAAAATATTCTTGTCACCACTTATTTTGTTGAACTTTTGGTGTAGTTTTTAAATATGTACGTTTTATTTTTTATTTCTATACCAATATTTAAATAAAATCGATTGAAAAAACTTGGGATTTTTCTTCGTTTTGCGAACCGGGAAGATCATTATAGGACGGAGGGAGTAATATTAATATATACACACTACCTAAAATAAACAAAAATGGCACGAATTTTAAGATTAAATTGAAAAGTGTTATTATTTATTTGAGAATCAATTATTTGATAAGACAAAAGGTAGAATTTGTATGGATGTTAACGGGTGTGTTGGAAAATCTATTGAATTTGTTTTCTAGACCTTTCAAGATTAGGACTAAGGATAACATTAGCATTATCTTTCCAATTCTCATCTATATAATATGTAGTAGGATTAGGATTATCCTTGTCCTCTTCCTCTCTCTCTCTCTCTCTCTCTCTCTCTCTCTCTATATATATATATATACACACACACACACACATGCATAAATATATATGTGTGTGTGTGTGTGTAATTTTTTTCTAATAGCTAATAAATTGTTTAAATGGTTATGAAATATTTTAAATTCTAAATGAGTCGAATATTTCTAAACGAACCAAATATATTTAAATGAACCGAATATGTTTAGTATATTAAACGAACCGAATATGAATCTTAAAAAGTATTCGAACCAAATTTGAATTCAAATATCACCTTATCTTAACGAATATGAATACTATTCATGAATATTCAATTTGGTTCGTTTACAACCTTACTCAAGATATGATTTAGTACCATTTCGTGTAAATTTCACTTCATTAAACAAGTTTCAATGTAATACAATATAAAAGTCCTATAACCCTAACATTGATAGCAAACTGAGCATGCAATATTCCAAAAAAATGTGTAGTTTTATCATTCCTATAAAAAATGTGTTCATTTGTTGGAAGATGCTCTTTTTCACTATTTAAGTTTTCAAGTACAGTGGTTAACAATAAAGGGTCTGAATGGGAATAACATTAGCATATTGGATAAAATTTAACGATACAGATTACTTTAAAAAACACTAACGCTAAACATTACTTGTAGATAACTTTTCGACTCACGCTATTCCCAAACAGGCCTAGAAAAAAATATTCCTTAGATGAGATTAATTCTTATGGATCAAAACCACCCAATAATACGGAGTACTATTCAGATACTCTTGTAAAAAAATGTGATAAACAGATTTTATAAATTTCATAAGCTGATATAGATTTTGAATGAGGTTGTAACAACCACAATTTAATGCTTTCTCCGGCCATTAAAACTTTTCCTATTTTTACTTTTTTGGATCAAACAGTGACACACTTTGACCATAAATTAATGATATAAAATTTTGATATATCAAAACTATATCCTAAGATGAACCCAATTACATTGAATTTAAATTGTAATTAAATATACATTTCTTACCATTTATGGTCAAATAATGTTACTGTTTGACTAAAAAAATCAAAACAAGAAAGATTTTTAGGACCGGAAGGAGTATTGTTAAATCATTTGTTTTCATTTTGAATTTTAATAATGGTCGGTTTTGTTCTCAGGTTATATGTTGTTTTGTCAAGAAAATGTCATGTCCTTCAATAGCTCTTTCAAATACTACTAAAAATATCACACCCTACAAACCTAATAACTCACAAACATAAGAGCTTTATCAGTCATTTTATTTTCTCCCCTCCCCATACCTAACAGCAGCTAAAAACAAACAAAAATACTACATTTTACATTCCCTGATTTTAACAGATCCACTCATTCCCTGCCTTAAAAAAACAATTCTCAGAATATTCCCAAAACGTACCAGTTATGGCATGAATCAAGCAGAACACGACTGAAGCTTGAGAAAGTTTGGCACACAAATTTCTTTCGGCTGCTGCCTGGGAAAGTTCGGGAGAAGCTCCACCAAATGGAGTGCTTCAGGTGTGTCACTAAGGTATCTTAAGATAGTAGAAGTTATTTTGGAATCTAAAACAATTCCCTTATCCGACATTTCGTGGAGCAACCGAAGTATTTCATCTGATTTGCCCTCCTTCAGAGTAAAGCCCTTAATCAAAGAATCATAAACAAGGATGTCGGGGGTGAAGCCAGATGCGACCATTTTGTCAAACAGTTTCTTAGCCACCTCGGTCTGCCCTAGATTCGAAAACCTACTTATTAGTATGGAAAAAGTGAAAGCGTCGGGTTTCAAGCCCCCTTGAAGCATATGGGTTAGCAGTTGTTCAGCAAGTTGCAGATCTCCGGCTTTCAAAGCTGCGTCAATGATAATGTTATATGTGACTGAATCGGGTTTACACTCTCCGTCATTTAACATCTCTTGAAACAATCCCCTTGCTTGTCCAAAGCTGCTTTCCTTGCATAAAGCTGCCATGACCGAGTTGTAGTCGAACACCCTACGGTTTCTCATGGTTAGAAAAATTCCCTTTGCGATGTTTAGCATATTTAACTTGCAAAACCCGTCAATTAAGGTCCCATAGGACAAAGAGTCTGGAATAAAGCAAAGTTCGGTCATCTTCTTCCACGTACACATAGCTTTCCCAACATCGCCTTCCTCCTTTAGATGAGCTCCTATGAGCACAGTGAAAGTTTGGACATCGACGAGATGCTTGTTCTTAATCATCATCTTATCATGAATCTCTGCAGCTTGACATGTGCGCTTTTTTTGACACAATGCATGAACCAGAAGAGTGACTGTTCGGACATCTGGTTCAGCATAATCCTTTCCTGTACACATTGAATTAAAAAGTGACAAGGCATCATCTACCTTCCCATGATCACAAAGCCCCATCATGATTGTATTGAAGGTCACCACATTTGGCTTCTCACCCTTCTCTATCATTACTTGTAAAATATTAAAAGCATCGGTTAGTAATCCTTTAGTACACAGTCCACGGATCAGAACATTGTAAGTTGTGTTTCCAAGCCCTAGATCTTTCCCCAGCATCAGATTGAACACCTGCAGTGCTTTATCTACCCTCCCGTCTTTGCAAAGCCCATCGATTATGCTTGTAAATGTGACAGTATCAGGTTTGACTCCACACTCCAGCATAGAATTGAAGATCACCATGGTTTCTTTAAGTTGACCCTTCTTGCAAAAGCCATTTATCAAAGATGTATATGTGACTACATTCGGAGATACCCCTTGCACTAGCATTTCATCAAACACCTCTTTGCCTCTGTTCATCATACCTTTACTACAAAGCCCATTTACCAGTGTGCTATAGGTAAACACATCCGGTTCCAACCCCTTGATCTTCATCTCCTCCAGCAATCCTATTGCTTCGTCCACCTTGTCGGCCCTGAAAAATCCATCCATCAATATAGTATATGTGAGCAAATTGGGAGTAAGATTTGCAGTTTCCATACCAGCCCTCAACTCCAAAGCCTCCTGCAATCTGTTTGCATTGCATAGTCCTTTAATAAGAGTGTTATAACTAACTCTGTCAGGGGACACCATGGGTTTCCCATCTGATTCACATAAAAGTTCCACCCCCTTGTCAACCATGCCATTTTCACACAAACCTTTCAACAACATATTGAGAAGGTACACATTGATAACAAAACCTCGCTTCAGAATTATTCCAAACACAGAAAAGGCCAAATCAGGCTTGTGGGTGTGCACGAAAATCTCAACCAAGGCAGCTAAAGTTAAAAAACTAGGGGTAAACTGAGCACGATTAAGGGTGCGGGTAATTTTACCATACACGTCAAATGCAAGTCCATATGCCTTGTTCTTAACCAGAGTTTCAATGAGAAAATTGCAAGTAGATGCGAAGGGAACTTGCATCAAATCAACAACTGCATGTTCGAAGAGGCGCACCGCCTCTACTATCACTGAATTAGGGCAATGCTTTCCAGAAAGAGATGACTTCAACTGAGAATCCAGTTTCTGGGCGAGCATATCACTATGAGCTAACGAAGGAACAGAAGAAAAAGAAATGTGTTTGATGGGGTTTCCGGCGACCAACAAGGTAGTAAGCTGAAACTGAAAACGGAGGTCCAATGGTTTCTTGAAAACCATCATAGTTCTCGACAAGGATCGTAGCCAGGATTCTTTTCACCTGGGCTGGATGTCTGGGTGTAAAATACAAATGAAGAAATAAGTTGTCAAAAACATAAAAGGATGTATCTTATATTTGAGTATTTGACATTTTCAAAAACAAGGGAAAACATACATTAATGGTGTTGTGCTCTGATTCTTCTTAAGCTCAAAATATATAACCACTCCATTTCATTACTACCTAGCATAATTTTTTCATCAAATTATCGTTTAACATAAAAATCCATTTAATTAACCTGCTCCTTTGCTTCAAAAAGAAGTGATAGTTTTCCTTTTCTTCATCCTTGATGTTCCATTATAACTAAATGTCTAAATAAAATATTAGATGGTAAGAAACACACATTCACTAACCATAGTAAATCGACTAAACAAATAACTCTGCTAGTATATGAGAACAAATTCAAACTTGTGTTGGAAACAATTTTCTTTTTATAATGGATGTAAATAGGCAAAATATTACGCCTTTATGAGAATTTTTTTAACCAGTTCTGAAAAAAAAGGATAAAGCCTAAATACAATTAGAACATAAGACAGATTTAAGATCTGAAGAATAAGGCAAGAGAATACTATGAACGCAAAGTAAGTGTGAATATACCTCCTGAAAACCTGAAATTGGTTTCAAGTGCCGATAAATGGAAACTGGAAGATGGAGTTCGCCGGCCTCGTGTTTGGATTCTGGGGTCTCAATGATACGACCTTCTACAATTCTGTATGCTACGGTGCATTTGGTAGGAGGTAGGCACAGTAAGGAAAGCATTCTTGCCTTGTGGTTCGGCTATGCCCATCATTCTTAGCTTTCTGTCTACACCACGGCGGAGCGCAGGGAATAGGGGCGGCTAAGAGATGAAGGCGGCGAAGGGAAGGAAAGGGTAAGGTTATGACTGACTGGCCTAAATGGGGGAGGAAAAATAAGGTGGAAAATTAGAAATCACCTTTTAAAAACATTGAAAAAAATATTAAAATATGAATTTTTATTTACAACGTAGAAATTCGTACTAAAATAAGCTTATTTCTTATTTTTCGTTTATTACTTTCTTTTCCCCCCTTTTTAACTTTTTATCTCTTTGTTACCTCTTCTTAGAAAAAATTTTAAAATTCTTTTAAATTTTTAATGATTTTATAAAAGATCAAAATTCTTGGTGTTTGAAAAAAAAAACAATATACTCCATCTATCTCAAATAAAAAACTTTAACTTTTTATTTTCTAGAACAATGTTTTTGGCAAGTTCAAAAAGAAAATCAGAAATAAAAAATAAAAACAAAAATATAGAAAAACAAAATAAAAAATTGAAATGTCTAAAAAAGAGTCTTATACAAAAAGCAATTTTCAGAAGTTTAAAAAAGTCTTTAGAACTAATATGTCCAACAAGAACATTTATTTTTTTGTTTTATTTTATTTCTTATTTTATTCTCATTTTTTGAAGTTCCAAAAAAATTTTACTTTTAAATTTAGAAAACAAAAAATTAAAATTATTAATTTGAAACGTAGAGATATAGTATATGTTAAATGTTTTTCAAACAAAAAAAATTTAAATTTAAAGAACATTATAAAAATAATTTTAAAAATAAATTTGAAAAACCTTGATTAATAAAATATACAAATAAACGAAAAAACAAAAAATAAATAATAAATAAGAAATGAGCACCAGTGTCTTTTATGGTTTGGAAAAAAGACATCAATATCTCCGTCTTCACTAGAAAATGGTCGAAAAATGATCAGAGAGGGTATGAGTACAACGTTTTGTAACTACGGAAAGTTTAGAAATAAGTTTTAAAAATATGAAAAGTATTCGTATTTTTTTAAAGAAACCCCTCTAAATAGTACTAAATCATTAGACATATTCCAAAATAAGAGTCTCAACTTATACACCCAAAATAGGAGCGGCAAATCTCCTCTTTGATTCGATTTTGGCCGACACTTTTGTTTCCTTCCAGATCTCTTTGGTTTCCTTGAGACGGCCACAATCGGCCAAACTTTTCTTCCTTTTCGATCTCCTTCACTGACACTTTCCCGCTTTTGTTGCCACTCCTGCTTGGACTACCACTGTTTCCGCCGTCGCTGCCACCCACCCCGCCGCCATTGCCACTGTTGCCATCGCCACAATCGTTGTTAGCGATGCCCCAGCTGGCTGTCGCGTCTATGCCTCCATTATCCCCGACAATGGCCCCCTTTCCGCCACTTGCAGCACCCTTGTTGTGGCAGTCGCCGCCACTATCGCTGCCACCAGCACTGCCCCTACCTCCATTGTCCCTACCGGCGGCACCCCTTCCGCCACTGTCGTTGCCGGCAGCTCCCATGCCGTCACTAACCCTGCTCTTGCCACCACTACCATTAAATATCCATATAGTGTCAAACAATTACTATATGGAAAATATAACAACACATAATGCGACACTTGAAGCTGCATAATGGCATCCATCCTAATGTATAGAGTCACACAACGAATGGATACAGCGTAATGCGAATCATAATGATGTATCATGCAATACATGGCAATGCATCACGGCAAATATGCCAATGTATAATAATGTCATTGTTGTCCCTGTTTTGTTCTATAGTTTACTTATAGTCTTATACATTGCATATTGCAACCAGGGGAGTAAGAATCTTCTAAGTTACGAATGGTCACTTCTTCCAAATAGACAACTAGTTTAAAATTTTAAATTTGTTAGAGGCTACAAATTTTATAGTAATAACCACAACATATAAGGTCTTGATTAGTTATGTTGTTTTTTGGGAATTGATAGACAACCTTTAAACCCTTCTTAAAACTCATTCTTAATTCCAAACTCATGCTAGAAAATGCACAATATATGCACCATAAATAACTACTTGAGAATTTTGCTAGAGGATGTTCTATAATAATAACCAAAACATATAAAAAAACCTTGATTAGTTATGCAGTTTTTTATGAAATTGATAGACAACCTTTAAACCCTTCTTAAAACTCATTTCTGATTTCAAACTAATGCTAGAAAAAGCACAATATATGCCATAAATAACTACTTGAGAAACTGAGCATTAGCCAATGAATTACTAGTTTATAACCCTTAGCTACTGCATAAATGAATGAACAATCTCAGCAAATCAAAGAGAAGTGAAAACTATTAGAATCAATATGTATGACTAAATGGTAAACCAAAGACCATGCCTTTGAGTCAATTAACACATGAACCTCATTAATTCCTCTACGCCTTGATGTTCAAACAAAATGAGTGGGCCAGAGAAAGGAAATCCACTCGGTGAGTCAACATACTCAACAACTCCTATATTTGGGGGTTTTATGCTTTCACTCCTATTTTGGGTTTTAATCAATGTTTTACTCCCATTTTGCTCCTTAATTCATTTTTTTAAACACGAGGTATTGACACTATTTGGCCTAGAAAAAACATTTATTACAAATTTCTTGTTAGGGAGATGCTAGGGGTACACCAAAGGTGGACCCCAAATGTCCCCCACCCCCTTCACAACCACTTATTTTTATTTGATTTTTATTTATTTATTTTTTTTTTTGAATTTTCTTGCCTTTTTTTGTGGGGAATGGAATCCGAATTACTTTGGTGTACCCCTAGTATTTTACGTAATGGTATGTTTGGGAACATCAATTTGAATTTCAAATCTGGATTTGGCTCAAATTCCATGTTTGGGAAACTTAAAGGTTTTGAATTTGGATTTGAGTTAAATTCTTGGAAAAATTGATATAAATACTCTCAGAAATTTGAAATTTTACAATAATACTCCTAAAATTAATTAAAGACTCTGGTGCTCCCAATTAAATTATAGGTTTATGTCACTACTCCCATTAAGCCTTATCAGCTTTTCCTACGCTTACATGTAATTAATTAAGCTAAGTTGGCATCTTAGTTGTTTTTTTTGTTTTCATAAGAGGAAATATATATATATATATATATATATATATATACTCATAGAAATCCAAAATTTTACAATAATACTCCCAAAATCAAATAAAGACTCCAGTTCTCCCAAAAGTATATTCTCGTTGCACGTTATGATATTTGACTGAAATTATTTTTAAAGTATTTTATATGAAAAAAGGTTTGAAATTAAAAAATAAAAATTACATATTAAAAAACTAATATAGTAATATGTAAAAATAATTTTTTTAGTAATATTACAGATTAATTAATTGAGCTTAATTGGCATCGTAGTTATTTTTTTATATTTTAATACAAAATACCCCTCCGTCCAAATATTATCTTCTCATTCACTGTTAAGAGTATTAACAAGACCAAATTTTATTTACTTTGCTTACCTATTTTAATTATATACTTGATAAAATAATATAATTATATCATTACTAGTTTTATAAATCTTATGATGTAGTTTTTAGATATATATAATTTTATTTTTTGGTTTCAAACTACTTTTATGAAACATCGTAACACGTAGAAGAAAAATATTTTTTAGAGTACTGGAGTCTTTATTTGGTTTTAAGAGTATTATTGTAAAATTTTGAATTTCAGGGAGTATTTATATAATTTTTTCCTCTTATTAAAACAAAAAAACAACTAAGATGTCAACTAAGCATAATTACGTACATGTAAACATGAGAAAAGCTGATTAGGCATAATGGGAGTAGTGATGTAAATTTATAGTTTAATTGGGAGCACCAGAGTCTTTTATTAAATTTGAGAGTATTATTGTAAAATTTCGAATTTCTGAGAGTATTTATATCAATTTTTCCTAAATTCTTTTCATTCATAACAAAGATTAATTTAAAATGCATACACCTCCTTTGTCATTTGAAATTTAAAATTTCAAATTTTGGGATCCAAATGAAATGCCAAATCATGCAATACCGAATTGAGAAACCTCTATTCTCTCTGTAGTCTGTACAACCACTGCTCAGTCTCTTTGGCAATGGCGCCCATTGATCCCCATTCCTTCACCGATTCCGCCCACCCTCTCACCACTCACGTCTCCCTTACTCTGTACTTCGACTTCCCGTCCTCCACCATCTCCGCCGCCACGCTCCTCTCTCTCGCCGCCCCTTATTCCGGACCCCTCACCATCGACACCCGCTCCCTTTCCGTCTCCGCCGTCCTCGACCCGCTCTCCCTTTCTCGGATTCCATTCTCCCTCTCCCCTTCGCCGCCTGACTCTGTCCTCGGCCAATCTCTCAACTTCTCGCTCTCCAACCAATCCCAGGTTCTGATTCTCTCGGAAACCGCCCCCTCCAGCTCCGCCCTTCAGTGGCTGTCTCCTCCGCAGACGTTTAACAAATCCCACCCTTTTGTTTACACGCAATGCCAGTCCATCCACGCCAGGTCCATTTTCCCTTGCCAGGACACTCCGGCCGCGAGAATCAAATACTCCGCGAAATTGAACATCCCGCGCCAGCTGTCCGCCGTGATGTCCGCGAAGCACGTGGAGAGACGGCCGCCCTCACCGGCAGAGGCAGTAGGAGTGTGTGAGGACGCAATTTGGTGCGCAGATGATCGGGTCGTGGAGGAATTCGTGATGGAGCAGCCCATTCCACCATATTTGTTTGCTTTTGCAGTTGGGGAATTAGGGTTCAGGGAGGTTGGGCCAAGAACTAGGGTATACTCAGAGGCAGCAAGTGAGTTGTTGGATGCTTCCGCCAAAGAGTTCTCCCACACCGAGGAGATGATCAGGGTGGGAGAGAGGCTTTTCGGGCCGTATGATTGGGAGAGGTTTGATTTGCTGGTGTTGCCTCCGAGTTTTCCGTACGGAGGAATGGAGAACCCGAGGATGGTCTTCTTGACACCCACTGTTATCAAGGGAGATGCTAGTGGGGCACAGGTGGTGGCTCATGAACTTGCCCATAGCTGGACTGGAAATTTGATCACTAATAAGAACAACAATCACTTTTGGCTAAATGAGGTATCATGTACGAGTATTACACTATTACAATTAAAGATTCACAGATGTATCATTTCACATATTCCCGGTACTCTGATAGAATATAGTCATATCTATAATCTAATAAATGTGTATATAAGGAAATTACATTGTACACTAGTAGCTGGGATTTAGCATTCAACTTTGTAGTTACGAGACTTGAACTTAAGAAGAATATTGTGGGCAACCTCTTGTTTTAATAATGGATTTTCATAGCCATAGTAAACATATACTGCCTCATATATTTCAATAAAAAAGAAAGATAGAAAGAAAGAAAGAGTAATTGTATTAGAATATAGAAAAGGGACTTGTAAAAATAATTATAAGGATATAAGACTGATAATTTGAACTCTTTCTTTTAAGATAAAACCAAACTTTTAGTCTCCAATTGCTTGAAATTTGTGATCGATGATCGATCGTTGATTTTTTTGGTGAACTAAAGCCCGCTAAGAGCTAGTTGGTTGAAGTGGCTGAACTTGTAGAATTATATGAAAGGGGAAACATTTGGTAAAATCATTTTCAGCCAAATAAGCAAGTCAAAGGCTACCAATTCCACATTTCCACTTATTACTCTCCTTCTTAACTTACAAGCTGAAGCAGCATAAGCTTATTAATGATAAGAAATATGGTCTTAGCTGTTATGAATTAGATACAAGCGGACCTGTCCCTCTCCCTCCTCGGATACCAAAGCACCTATCTCTTTATTTTTTCTTATGGTTTTGTAACTTAGAATGTTCTTTTGTTCTCCTAGGGGTTTACAACGTATGCAGAGCGGAGGATTGTGGAGGTAGTGCAAGGAGATGACAAAGCAGCACTAAATATCGGTATTGGGTGGAGGGGACTCATCGAGGAAATGGAAAGGTTTAAGGATAACTTGGAGTTCACAAAGCTGAAAACCAACCAGGCAGGAGTTGACCCTGATACAATATATTCTCAAGTCCCATATGAGAAAGGCTTCCAGTTCTTGTGGCGGATTGAGAGACAGGTATAAGACCCATGATGTACCATATGTTAATTTAGAGCCTGTTTGGTGAAGTCTCTATGCATCTTATCAGCGTTATTAGCGAATTTTTTCAACAAAAACTAACAGATTTCACTGCACTTGTTATGTTGTCCGAATAGAACAATTCTGTGCAATAATTACATTTTTTACCTGAAATGAAAGAAAATAACATTTCTACAATAATATTTTGGCATTATGTACTAATTTATGTTAGAATTACTCCCTTCGTCCTGTAATAATGTTCCACAATTGACGGGACACACAGATTAAGAAAAGTAAAATTGTGTGCTTGAAAGTGGTGCAAAGGAGAGCAATAATAATAACCAAAAAAACTTTTCCAAAAGTGGAACCTTTGTTTGGGACGGATAAAAAAGGAATTGTGGAACATTATTGCGGGAAGGAGGGAGTATATTTTTAATGAATGTAGAATAATTCAGCCATAACTCCCACAAGTTCAACGCATTCTTCTCATGGGTTATTGGTTTACCAAAGGCGTATTCCCAAACCATTGTATTAACAAATCCTATTTGGTTTATGGTTGTTGTCATACCCCTAGTTAATTTAGAATTACTAGTCCATTTACGATTATTTGTGTTAGCTCTATTTAGTTTAGTATTACTAGTCCTAGTCGGTTTAGGAATATC